TTGGTAAAACAGTAACTTGAGGGAATACTTCACACTGTGACGTTTGACACTTCTCTACAAGCTTCAGCTTTTCAATATATTCTTTCTTCAGTCTTCGCGTGGTACTTTCGGGAACATCTTTATCTAATTCTTTGCTGAAGTGGCAAGAAGCTCTGGTAGGGCCATGTTCAGCTGCATACTTTCCAATTTTTGCATGCTGCTCTGGCGTATAGTCATTGAAATTTCCTCTCTTTGCCATTTTCTCTTTCATTACTCGCTGGACCTCTGTAGTAGCTCTCTCCTGTTCTTCTAGTGTTAGTCCAGGCACACTAGATCGTGGGGTTTTCTCAATTTTCTTGAAATAATGCAGCATCTTAAGACTTTGCTTGATTTCATGTAGTAGCGTGATGGCATGTGAAGACAAGATGACGTAATGAACAACCACGCCCAAAATAGAGTAACAAAAATTGGCAGATTTTATTTTGGCGATTTTTTTGCCTACCGCCAATCCGCCAATATTAATTCCTCGCCAATATTTCTGGCTGTACGGTATAAAGCCTCAGGAGCTGCAGCAGCAGCCATTGTTTTGAAAGCCTCTCAATGAATTTTATTAAAAATAATTACTATGAATAATATTAATTGTACAATGAATATGATTAAAAACACCAACGTAATCACTATGAATATAATTAAGACCACAGAATTCTCTGGCGGCTGCACGAGTTGAGGAATGGAATGGAACCAGACTCCTACCCCGCCATCCAAATGTCAGAAAGGGGTGGAGTCTGGCACCGCGAGTCTATGTGGGAATAAGCTGTTAGAGCCATTGGTTGCAATGGTAAATAATTGCTGTGTATTTGGCTGCTACAGCTTTGCAGGCAACAAAACTTGCCTGATATTCTTCTCTTCTCTATTGAATAAGAGGAAATGAAAAAATTGGACAGAAATCGTTAGGAGAGCAAGATGGAAGCAAAAGAAGCAGGAAAGATCTCGTCCATAAATAGTTCACTGCAGGTTGCTTGCAATAACATTTCTGATGGTTTAACAGCTTTCTAGACAAATTGCAAGATAATTCTGATCGCCTAGACTACTTTTTAACACTAGCTTCCTGCTGTAACATAGCAAAATAATCAGAAAAATACAAAGATAGTAAAGTAATGCCTGGTAATTCAAGGTAAGCAATGATAATGCAAGCTGTGAATCTACTCTTAACTGCAGTTTCAGCTATAAAAAGTGATG